CCAGCATGGGGTCCTTTTGTCATCACTGCAGGTGGCCTAGCCAGCATGGGGTCCTTTTGTCATGGCTCCTTTCACAGCACAGCATGCAGACTCTTATCGGAGAAGAGCACACCTAACTGCATGTTTCTGAGCTTTTATTCAAGCCCAGCTCAGAAAAATAATTTCTCTATCTGCATTTTTGCATGATGCTATCAGTAGACCTTGACAATGCCATAAAAACAGATACATACCAGCTACCACCGCATTCCTGAAGGAAACCTGCTTGGTTTGAAGGAAGGAAGGGAGGAAGGAAGGGAGGGAAGGAGGGAGGACTCAACAGCAGAGCGGTGCCTGCCTTCTTTCCTCCTTCCCTCCCTGCCTTCCCTCCCTCCCTCTCCTTCCACATCCGTCAAACAAGGCATTGCCTAAAGTTCTTGGTAACCATGAAAATACTCCTTGGAGGCCTAGGATCGGGCCCAGGACAGGTGGTATCCGACTTGCCTCAGAGTGTGGTCACTGTTCTACGGCATCTGCTGGACTGCCCTTGTATGCTCTTGGGCAGAAATGCTGTAGATAGGAGTCAAGCACGTGTGGTTTATGAGTGCAGAGTGTCTTCACGGAGGAGTCAGAACAGTTTAACTTTGTTCTTCTCGTGCAAATCTTGGCACCCACCCTGGGACAGGCTCCAGAACCGGATGAGCACTGGAACAAACAGGGCTTTGCCTGTCTGAAGCTCATTCTGCAGATGTTTGGTCACCTTTGCTGCAGGTCAGGTTGAAGAATGCAGTGAGGTTGTCCATAGGGAGGCTGTGATTCAGTCTAGCTGTGGACACACTGGCCAGAAGAACACCTTCACCCCCAGCCACCCAGCCAAGGGTAGCAGCCCGTATCTCAGGTTCCAGCAGAGCAACTGGGCTGGCACTGGCTTTACATATTCACTGAAAACCCAGTCACTGGAGCAGAGTTGTGGCTTACACACACAGGAAACAGAAACCAGAGAGGGCTGTTCTCCTACAAAGGTTCCACTCACTCCAGAGGCAATTTCCTTTCAACCTGGGATCATAAAAGGAAAAGCCAGAGGCCCTCCACTGGCAAGAGCAGGAGCCACAGCAGATCTGTTTCCTGCTTATAAATGCCCTTTTAACGTTCAATAGCTCTCACAGGAACTGTGAGGGCACACTGTCTTTCACTCAGAGAAATAGCTGCAGAAAGTATGTCATTTTTTTATCAAGATTTTTCTTTAATACATGCTATTTCCTGTGGACCTCCAAGGCTGTTTCAGTGGTCACACTAGCAGAGGATTTTCTATCCCTGCAGTTTCCTCTTAATAGGGCAAGATAGGATCTTTGTTTAAATATTTATTTTTTAGCTGTAGATGGACACAATACCTTTGTTTTGTTTACTTATTTTTATGTGATGCTGAGGATCGAACCCAGGGCATCACACACACTTAGGCAAGCGCTCTACTACTGAGCCACAACCCCAGCCACCCCCTCCCCCTGCCGCAAGATAGGATTCGAGACACTAATCTTGCTTTTCTTTTCTCTGCTTTCTTCAACGTGATTTTGTACTTGGTCAGAGCCAGCATCCACACCCTGACAAGCACCTGAGCACTCATAACTGCAGCATTTCATGTGTCTCCTGAAAACTCGACACTAAAGAACTCCACTATCCACAGGACACATAAGTGGGGACTAGACTGCCATGGAGAGGGAAGGCTGTACAGCTGGGATGAAAAGCAGAAGCAAGGGCAGACACTCTACTCCTTCTGTCTCTCCAGCAGCAACGAGTTTCGGGAGGCAGAGGGACCAATGCCCACACACTTGGCCAGTGTCTGTGGACTTTGCCCTGTTGCTGGAGCACCTCGGCTGGGTCCCTCCTGGCACGTAGTGGATTAATTGTGCTCTCCTATCTGTGAGCTTTGGACTTGCTATCATCAAGTCCCCTCCCAGAAGAAAGGCTACGGCATTTGACAACCTGGTGATTCAGAGGGGAAATCTATGCCTAGTGCTTGGGTGAGTCAGAAGATTCAGACACCAGGAAATGCCCATCTGGAGTTTAATTGAAGGAAAACTTATTTGGTCTCATTTCTCTTTTAACATCATCACAAGTAAACATCATTATTTGCTGATAATTCTAAGATTTTTAGTTGCTATACATCCATTTTAAGGTGGCCTTTAGGAGACCCAGAGTTATTTCCTTATTGCTCTGCATGGCTCTCTGCTACAAGGCTGGAAAATAAAGTTATGCAAAGTGGACTGCAACATTAGCACTCTGGGCAGAGCCAATTTTGTGTGCCTCTTTTCCTTAACCAGGCCCTGAATGAGAGTTAAATGGTCTGATTTGCCAAAAAAAAAAAAAAAAAGGTGGGGGGAGGGGGGAGGAGTAAAAGAAAAAGTTTGACCATAGCCAAACTCACCACAGCTGGACAGAAAAATCTGCTTCTGTGTGGCCAGAGGAACCTACAGTCACTGACAGTGCATGGGACACAACATTCAGTCCGTGGTGATGGCGAGGTACCTGACTGGGGTGTGTCCAGTGGTGCTGGTGAGCCAGCTCTGTAGAAGAGGGTCAGAGTGTGCATAGTTTGTATTTGTAGTGTTTCTAACTTCTGTATTGTGTATTCTCCAGCCATGGCCAATTTCCAGTGTCCCAGCTGAGGACTTGGAACCACCTTGAGCAGCCCACAACACTGGCCTCCTGCAGCTATTGGTGTTTCTTCATGAGACTTCATCCTACCAGTCTTGACAGGAGTGTTCCCAAGTGCCAGAGTGTCTAACAGTGGGATTTTCCAAGCTATACAAATGATGGCCACCTGCCACAGAGCCTGTCCCAAGGGCTGCAGCTGGGAGCCTAATAAACCACAGATGGCAGGACCATGGGCCAAGCCACATGGCACTTCCCAGGCAATTTTGTCAGCAGAAATTTATTGCTTTTTTGATGGAATTTAAAAAGGCAGACTCAATAGGAAGGCAACATTTTTTTTTCTCTTGAAAAGTTTATTTAACATTCCTAATAATAAACCATTCAACTTTCCAGTCTGTATGAAGTTTTGTTTTGAGATTAAATTTATTTGCAAACCCTCATATAATCCAATTGGATATTAATAAAGCTTTTAATATCAAGTTTTTAAATGTCATTTGAATATCTGCCTTTTCCTATGGGAAAACAATAATATTACTATCATATTTTTCTTATTTTTATTACAATTAGTTCTTTACAAGATTATTACTAACAAATCCTGATTTTTAGTACAGGTTGAGAATTCCTTATCAAAAATGCTTGAGCCCACAAGTATTTTGGAATATTTATACATATATAATGAGATATTTTAGGGATGAGACATAAGTCTAAACATGAAATTCATTGATGTTCCCTATATTTTTACACATAACCCGAAGGTAATTTTAAACCTTTTTATTTTAACAAATTTTTATTTTTTGCAGTACTGGGATTTGAGCCCAGAAGCTCTCTACCACTGAAACTATATTCCCTTTATATTTTTTTATCTTAAAAATAGAGTTTTGCTATTGTTTAATTGTCCTGGAACTTGTGATCCTTCTTCCTCAGTCTCCCAAGTCACTGGGATTATAGGTGTTTGCCACCACATATGGCTTATACATATATTTAATAAAGTGGATGAAACAAAGTTTTATGGTATAAAATTTTCCACCTCAGGTGGAATATTAGTGCTCAAAGTTTTGGATTTTGGGGCATTTTGAATTATTTTGGACTTCTGAATTAAGGATGCTCAACCTGTACTTTGCTAAGGCAAAAGAGAAACATGATGCTTTAAAATTATTTTTAAATTTCCTATGAACTATTTTATAGTACAAAACTATTTGATATTAAGTATTCTTATGTTCAAATACTAAAAGTAATCTTTACTTCCCAAATTAAGTTTATACTCCAAGAATTTATTTTTAAAATATTTACATAATAAATACAATTTTAATCACTAAGTTCTTCCTCATCACTGAAATATGTACTTTTCTTTATCCTTGGGCGTCTTGAATCATCTGATGTTGAAGGACCCCCTGCACTGGGTTTCCATTTGTTTTGTTCTTCTTCAATTTTGGCTTGCTGAAATGCAATGGCCTGACTTAGACTGTCAAGAGCAGGATCTTCCCCTTCATCTTCACTTTCTTCTACTTCCTCAATTTCTTCTTCTGGTTCAGGAATTTTCTTTTTTTTCTTTTTTTCTTTCTTCTTTGGAGGCTCCCATTCTCCAAGCATATTTTTAGGACAGGCATAACTTAAGTGTCCACTTTCCCCACATTCATAACACTTTGATTTATCAAAGTAGTTTCGCCTCCTGATGAACTCTGCTGCTCTTCCATTGTCAATAGCAATGCTTGCCTTTATCACTCTACCAAACAACTGTTTGTTGTTTATTGCCCTTGTGCAGTTTTGTGCAGAGTCTTTATCCAAAAATAAAATAAATGCAACCCCTTTACTTTTCCTGGTATCTTTGTCTTTCATTATAGTAACCTTCACAACTTTGCCATACTTGGAAAATATCCGATATAAATCGTTGTTTGTCAGGGAGAAGGGCAAGTTGGATACATACACTGTGCTCTTACTTGGAGCTAAGCCACCACTCATTTCTTCAGGTGGGGCGAGCCCGGGAGACCAGAGGACCACCAGCCTCGGCTCGGCTGGGGCTCAACCCCGACTTTTCCTCGCCGCGGGCAGCGGATTTGGCATCACCTGTTCCTGCAGGGGTCAGAGGAAAATACCGGGCGGTAGGGCCACCCGTACCCCTTCCCGGTTCGCCTTAGACCCGGGGCCCGGAGGCAGGCCAAGGCAACATTTTTAATGTATCTGAGTTGTAGCAAGCTGTTGTGATAAAGTGCTACACGTATTGGAAAATTTAATTCTGATTTGGTTATGAGCATAAAAATGATAACATGGTTAATGTCCACACTAAACATCCTTCCAATAAATTTTGGAAAAAAGAGAAGTTAAAGTAAATTCAATTAGCAGGGGTCCTTATGACATTAGAAACTGGGGAAAGTTGTCAAAACAAATGATTCAGGGCTCTTGGAAGCATAATATACTATGGTATAACCTTATAATGATGTATAAGGTATATGTGGAAAAGGTAAAATCAGAACACAAAAACAGCTTATAATTTCAGATGAAGCTTCAGCTTCATCTAAGGCTATGGTAGCATGACAGAAAGGGGAGATTTTAGCCAGGACCCTGATGTCATCTTAGAACCAGGCTGGTTGACACCCACAGCGTCCTGGAGAATGAGTCTGCCTGAGACCAGAATTTATTTCAGTGTATGAAGGAACCAAGCTGCCAGAGGCAGCCAGCTCAGAGCTCCTGACTTTCAGTGGTGAGAAGCAGTTCCCAGCCTAGTAACTGCCTCTTCCTTTCCCTGTCTTCAGCTCACTCAGGTGTTGTGGTCCACCTCCGTGTGTGTAAGCAAGAATGTCAAAAAGTCAACAAGTTTGCTTCTTGTTTCCACATATTTTCTTGTCTTTTCTCCAACATAAAACCTAGGGCAATATAAATGACATGAGCCAGCAGTGAGCAGGGTATTGCTGAAGGTCTCATATTTAGGACTAGGTAAAGAAAATGTACAGCAGCTGGCAGCTGCTCTGTTGAAAGCATTCTTCCTTGAAGGACTTCTCTACTATGCTCTAGTGAGATGGAATGAAAAATGGCAAAAGCCAGAGTAAGGAACATCTTCAGGTTAGGAAACGAAAGCCAACTGCATGTTTTATAAACATTTTGAAGAACTTTGAGGCAAACCAACCCAAGGAAGAGGCAGAGGAGGCCGACTCATTGCTGAGACCAGAGAAGCTAACTAGCAGCTCAGCTGAGTAGCCACTAAGGAGACATGACCTTCAGGTGCAGCTTCCACAAGAGTGCTGTGCCCACTGGTGCATACACTCTGTTTCTTGGAGATGCAGATGCCTAAGATAAAGTCAGAACACAGAAACTTAGCTTCTACATTCAGATGAAACCTCAGCTGCATTAGAGGCTATGGTAGAAAGATAGAGGATTTAGGAAGTTAACAAGTATGAGGGACTTTTGTTTTATAGGAGGAACAATTCGAGAAATGGCCTGAAATTACCACGAATTTGGGGGGGAGGGGCCTATAGGAAAACCTTGAAGAGCAAGGCAAATCATGGTTTCCTGACAGGAGGCCCCAAAGCTCCACTGTTTCCTGATGTCAAACCTACCTGAATGGTCATTTCCACATGTATAAATACCTACTCAGTGTCTTGGAGACCCACGGGAAGCAATGTCCTGGAAAATGGGTCTGCACGAGACTGTGCCTACAATTTTTACCATTATTAAAGTCCTTGTAAAGAACTCTGACTCCTCATAACTGGTGGTATCTTATGTTTCATGGCAAATTTACACTAGATAATTCCATGGGTTACATGATATATGTCTTAAAAAATCTAAAATAATAATAGCTAATCCAGATATATGTTTATTTCTCTTTCACACAAAAGAAATTCAGAAATGTAGTGTGGACGTTGGCAGGCCCAGAGCATGATGGGTCCAGAAGCTCATCAGGCCCCAGATCTCTGGCAGGGGGTCTCCATCCCTAAGGTCAGCTCAGGCCCAGGACAGGTGGTGCAGTGCCAGATCTTAGAGCCACATCCCAGGAGGAAGGGCATCTTTCCTCTTAAGTAGAATTTCTTTTTCTAAAAATATTTTTTAGTTGTAAATGGATCTTTTTTAAGATTTATTTTTATTTATTATATTCAGTGCTGAGGATCAAACCCAGGGCCTCACACCAGGCAAGCGCTCTACCACTGAGCCACAACTCCATCCCTCTTAAGTAGAATTTCTGAAAGTGTCACACCTAAATGCAAAAAGAGAGTGAAGTTGTACCAACAGATGCACAGTGAGTCCAAGAAGGAGGGGAGAGAGGAAAGTCAGAATGAGTGAAGAAACAGTGCTCTAAACTTCTAAAATGTGAAGGAAAACAATAATCTACATATTTAAGAATCTCAACACCTCGACATTGTATCCTTCAGTGGGATAAACTCAGAAATTCACACCTAGACAAATCATAACCAAAGAATCTGAAAACAATGCGAATGGCCATAAGGGAGAGGCTATTGGGGGGAGCTCAACAGGTTGCCAGTGTGTTTCTTATCAAACCACGCAGGCCAGAGGCACGGAGAGACCATCCCCACTGTTCATGGTAGAAGACTGCCTTTCCAGAACTCCACAGTGCCTCAGGCCTTAGCTCTCGACACCCCAATTCACCTCTGGCCCATCCCTGCCACTCATCCACCAATGGGTGACCAGATTATGTGTGGGCTTTCTCTCCTTGCTCCCTGCAGCACATGGCTCCCAGGTCTAATTGATGGGATCAGGCTCCTGGCTTAAATCTCCCTTTTGGGGGTGCTACCATAGCCTTCGACGGAGCTGAAGCTTCATCTGAATGTATAGGCTGACCCTCTGTTCATGTGGTCAGCAACTTATGGCCTCTTCCTGAGGGTGGTTGGTCTCCTGCCAGAGCCCTTCTGCTACCTGCTTCCCCCCACATCTACATCCCCAAGTTCCCTTCAAAGTTTGCTCATTTGACTCCAGAGCCTGGAACTTCATGCTCTTCCCAGTAGAATGAGGTCAGTCAGCCCCACGCAGCAGTGGACAGTCATGACAGGTAAGAGGCCAGCGAGCCAGAAGCAGTCTCAGGGCCAGCCCAGCCTACACCACAAGTCCCACTTTCAGCACCCTGTCCTTGAGACCTGAGGACCCGGGAGAGGGCTCTAGGACTCCAGGATCCATGGTATCTGAGCTAGACACCCTCCTCCTTTGGGGGGAGAAAGCCAGGTAGGGAGTCAGGACCTGGCTCAGGGGGAGGCCCTGCTGGCCACGTGCTCACTGTCTGATACTGTGAATGTGCAGGCTTTGTCTGCCACGAACGAGGCTTAGGCAGACCAAGGTCCCTTTTGGTCCTAACACTCTACTGCTCATTTATTTCACTGCTTGGATCTCACCTAAAGCAATACTAAAGCAGGATAAGCATGTCACACTGGAAATAATATAATTTTGATGAACTACATTGATGCCATATCTGATGTGACTTCAAAGTCTGAACTTGATCCCAGCATGTCAGGAGGACTTGAGCTATTTGGATCCAGCATTTCCATCTGGGATTAGCAGCCTGTCTGCTGCATGTCTCTCCCTACCTTTCCTATAGTTGAGACAGGCTTTCATGGCTCCTGAAAAACTTTCTTCTTCCTTCACAGAGCTTTTAGTTTTTATGGGGAACCGGGATTTTTTTTTTTTTTTTTTTTTTCAAAGGGGGGCTGAGCTGAGATTTAAATAACTGAAAGAAATCACAAGATGCCATGATGGTCTAGTGAGCAATAAGGACAATACACCCCAGGGGGGTGGGAGCAGAGGGGGCACTTGACATAGCTGGTCAATAGGTGTTTTGCAGGAAGGACAGACCAGCAGACTTGGAGCACAAAGCCTGGTCCCACCTGGACCCACCCCTGGCTGCTCCATGTGCCTCTCAGAGGTGGGAAACAGGTTTAGGAAGGTTATGGGCCCAAGAGGCATCCGCTGGAATGCAGACGCTAGTTTCACCTGTTGCTCCTTGCGTGTGTTGTGCACGGGACAGGGAGCTGAAAGTGGAGTCATACGCAGGTCTAGGCATCAGAGTGGGGATGAGCTACAAGTTGGGTGGCCATGGGGTCTTCACATGGGCCTTCCTGTTCCAACCGCACACATTCCATGTGTGACAATTGCTAGGCACCTAGGTGTACAGCCCTGAAATCCTATTCTAACCAAGAGATGAAAGACATAAGCAATGGCATGCTGAACCTAACCTTCTCCTGTCTTTGACCTCACCCTGGCTGCCCACTGTGTCTGAGCCCACAGACTGTACTACTTGCTGCCCTTCCAGGAGCAGCTGTCACTGCATCGCCCCTTGCACATGTGTGCACTCACAGTGCTCACTGCCTGCTTTCTCACCTAGTACTGCCACCATGTTGCAGAGGGTGGAGTTCCCAAAGATCAGGAATTCTTCCTTTGGAGTGGCCCAGGTGGTGATGTGGTTCTTTTTCCTTTCCTTCCTTTTTTTTTTTTGCAGGGGATGGCCACACCTGGGAATTAAACATTAAATCCGGTGACTCACTTACTATTGCAGTATTATTGCTGCAGAGAATAAAGTGGTCTTCACGCATTGCGCGAAGACCCCACCAGATATACTACGCTCTGTGTTCCAAAGGGGAAGTGCAGGATGAGTAAGCCTGTAGGGCATGAAGTCCAGAGAGTCCCAAGGGCAAGGGTGCACAGGGAAGGCCAGCACATGTGCAGCACAGGGAAAGCCAGCATGCTGAGTTCAGGGAGGCATGAACCACTAGGTGCTTGTACCCAGCAACTACCTGCTCACTGCCATGAGACCTCCCTGTGGCAGCAACCACTAGTTCAAATATCTCCAACTCCTTGGATACTGTCAAGAGTAGACTGCCTTAAAGAAACAAAACAAAACATTTTCCCCAAATATGTAAATGTGTTAAATGAGTCAAATGCCCCAAATATGTAGCATGTGGGCATCTCTTTTCTGCTCATCATGTCTCTGGGCCACTTCTCCAACACCCCAGTGGCACCACAAGTCTAGCCTTTTTCTTTCCTCTATGAGTGCTTTCCTCTCCATCCTTTGGTGACAGTCCAGGGGTCACCAAACATATTAATCTTTACAAGGGCACCCAAGTACTGTAGCAAAAGACTCGCTGGATGTGAGTCCATCTGAACCTGCCTGAACCACCTCTGAGTTCCTGTGGTTACTTTGTAGGTGTCTACTCTTGCTCTGTGGGCTCACACTATTGCTTTGCTCCTGCTATTACCTTGCAGGCTATTGTGCTTTGTGGGTTCTGTTGTTAAATCGCGGCTTTCTTGTACTTCTGGTGTTATTTTATAAACTATTATTATTTTGTGAGTTTCTGAAATCATTTTGGCTCCTCAACACAGCCAACAGATTTCCTTCATAAGGAATTGTGTGGATGCTAGCAAATTAGATTAACATATATACAGATGGTCCCCAACTTACAAGATGGCACTTACATGACATTTGACTTTAGTATGATGTGAAAGTACAGCCATGCTTCTGTTCCTCACTTCCAGTACACTATTTGATAAGTCACATGAGATATTTAACACTTTTAAAGTAAGATTTGTGATAGATGACTGTGCCTGACTGTAAGCTGTTGTAAATGTTCTGAGCATGTTTAAGGTGGGCTGCGCTAAGGCACGACATTTGGCGGGTTGAGTGTATTAAATGCATTTCTGAGTCACAATATTCTAAACTTATGTGGGTTTATGGGGATAAAACGCCACGGCAAGCTAAGGACTACCTGTGTTTTACGGCCCCATTGTAGTGGCAGAATCTTGGCTTGCCAATATCTAATCAACTCGACAAGCAGTTAACCTTGATCCAATAGTCCCAACTATAGAGGTTTCCTTGCAAGTACACTTCCACTACAAACAAGAAAAAACACAGTCGATGGGCACTGTGTGAAGGAAAGGAAGAAGGGGAAGGCGGTGTACGCAATACTGCCCACTTGGGCCCTGATGGGTTTCACATGACTTGTAAAGTAGCCAAAAGTCAGTATTAGAAATGACTCACAGAATCATTTTCAAAGATGAATACTTACCTTCCTGTGATGCGTTCCACATACAGAAACTCGTTCTGAAAGGGAAGACACTAAATTGAACGTGCATATTTGCTGACTGCACACGAGGCGCTTCCAGGTGTTCTGCACGACGCTGGCGCACGCACAAAGCAATCCCCGAGCAGCCGGCCTCTGCCCGCCCTGCGGGCTCCGCCAGGCCAGTCCGCCGCGGGAGGGCCGCGCTCACACGCACACACGCCCCGTACGCCCAGCGAGGCTGAAGCTGGGCGGTTCGCTGGCCGCTGGCTGCCGGCCAGCCCCCGTGCTCAACTGAGCGGCCGAGCCTGGGTCCCCGCGCCGCCAAACCCGGCTGCGCGGACCCGCCCACGCCTCTAGGGCCGGGCCAAAGGGCACCTCTCCTGGAGCCCCGCAGGAGCGGGCGAGGCGGCGCTCACTGCGCACGCGCGCTGCTGGCCACCAGCTCTTAGCAACACCGACCGGAGCCGCGACGGCCAATCAGCGCGGCCGGGGGCGGGGCTTCCCGTAGAGGCGGTGACGGCGGGCGACTTCCGGCAATATTCTCGGTGCAACGCAGTCGGTGCGCACTGAGGCTGTCGCGTCGGGTGAGGCCAGGCAAGTGCGGAGAGGAGCACAGGGGGGCTGGGGGCCGCGGTCTGCCAGCGGGGAGCGGGTGGCCAGGTATGGAGAAGTCGTGGGCCGCCAGTGGGGAGGGGCCCGCTAGGAGGGAGAGGACGGCCGGGTGGGACTGCGCCTGGGGGCCAGCAGTGGGGAGAGGAGCGCCAGGTGGGACCGGAGCTGTGGGGCCCATCAGTGCGGAGGGGATCGCCAGGTGGGGAGAAGTCGTGGGCCCGCCCGTGACGAGGGGACCTTCAGGTGGGGAGGGATCGCCAGGTGGGACCGGGGCCTTGGCGGTGCACTGCGGAGCCTGCCCTCGGTTGACCTGCCATAGGGCTCACCTAGTCCCCACCTAGCTCCAAGGCGTCCTCTGTCGGTCCTTGCTTTGTCTGCCTCCCTCTGGACCCAGAGAGAGCTGCTCTGCAAACCTAGGCCTCTCCCTGTTCTCTTGAGTTCCTGTGCACCTTCTCTGTGACATATGCCTGGGAATGACCCCGTTCTCCTCCACGCCACTGTGTACCTACCTACTATTTTTCTTGCAGGTGGTACTTGAGAATGTGTATCCTTCCCTTCACAGCTCATTTTGGCCTTTTGAATTCCATCTCTATTCCAGGGCCTATTCAGACTCACCTTGAACTAGGAGTCGGAAGAACTGTCTTCAGTGAAGTTCTCTTTTTGCCTATTCCCAGTTCTTTTACTATCTAATCAGAAAAGACCTGATTTCTCTTTCATACAGCTTTTCCCCTGCTTGCATTGTTTTCCTTTTCCGTGAAGCATCAGTAATTGTCTTTCAGACCTTGTTGGAGTGAATCCCACTTTTGACTCTCAGCCTCTAATTTGCAATGTTTTGGTGTACTCTCTGAATCAAATTTGTTCACACTTACAAACCAACGTTTGACCCAAAATTGTTTGATCTTAAGTTATTTGGAAACATCATAAGAAAACGCAATAAAGAAAAATAGAATGCTTATCAAATTGAAGACCAGTTATTCCTTCTTATTTCAGAACAATGAAAAATAAGAAGGGGGAAAGTAAGTTCCTATACTAACTTCTTTTTCTGAATTTGAATAGCAACTGACTTGCTATTTTGTTTATTGTGTATGCTATTGTAGCTCTTGTTTAACAGTTCTTATTGTTTTTAAAGCCCAACTTAATAGTTGCATTAAGTACTATTTTCATCTAGCTTAAATAAGGAAACACATGTGGCCTGTTAAAATGTATTAGGGTTTTGTTTTCCTTGTCTTAGTACTGTTGTATTTAAATGAATCATTACTTTAGATTATGTTGGTGATGTCACATAAGTTTTAAAAAAAAAAAACTCTTGTAAATATATGGCATCTTTTACTAAGGTTTTCAGGAACTGCTTTTATAAACATAGTGGCTGAGAGCATGCATTCTAGAGCTAGAGCCCCTAATTTTGAATCCTGTTCCACCAAACTCTTTGCCTTGATGTTCTCATATACAGAAGAGAACTAAACCTGTAAAGTGAGAATGACGTTTCCTATCTTGTTGGGTAGTATGACAACTAAATGAGATAATGCCTGTAAATTGTTTAGATTGATGTCCACCCCATACTAATCTCTGGTAAATGTTATCATCACTAGTCTTACCAGTTAGGAAAACCTATGCTTATAAGAAGAAAAGACATTTCTTGATTAGTTCAGATTCTTTCATGCCAGGAATTTCCACTGAGAAATGTATTTCATAGTCCTGTTCTGCAGTACTCCACTCTCATGTCCTGCCATATTAAACAGGAGGTTTAAAATAGTTTAGCCCTATATGCTCTCTGACATAGTTAGCATAAGATGTGCTTAAATATTGCTGTTATACAAAATGAGTAGACTCTGAATAGTCACTCTTTTATTTTGTATTAATTTTCAGAAATAATTTCCAGTTTTAATTTTTGTATTTGCAAATTCTCAAAGGTAATTTTAATTAAAATAAACTTGTAAAACTCTAGCAATTCACATTTTTTAGCTGTGCAGATAAATTCCTGAACAAAGTTGTAGGATATCATTCTAAAAATTAAGTAGCTTGTTTTCTGATTTGTAAAATCAGTTGCTCAGATTGGGAGTATTTTTGAAAACTTAACATGTGGGCTTCTTAAATTGCAACTTCTCTTTTTTGCATTTCCCAGTGACTGACTTATTTGTTACTTTTTTAAAAAAAAATCTGTTTAGTTCTTAAACTATATAAATTTAAAATAAAGCTCAGGATAATCCAGAGATTTTACCATTACAAATTTATGAAATACACACATCTGCTGAAGAGCTATTTTTTTTTTCTGTTGAAAAATCTGGGGCATGGGCTTGTTTATTTCCCATGGTCCATTAGCTTCATTGCACTACTGGCCAATCCAAAACAGGAAGGAAGGAAAGAATCACTTAACTGCTGAAAAATTCACTCCAAATCATATTAATTTCTTCCCAAGTTGTTATAGTCAAAATTGTAATATGGGTAGAGGTGTTTTTAAAAAGGTTATTTTATTGGACACACCACGCTGGCTCTTTGTGTGTTTTGCTAGGGTTAGCACCCAGGGCCTCACACGTGCCAGTCAATGCTCTACCACTGTGCCACATCCCCAGCCAACACTGGCTGTTTACATAAATATTATAGTCATTTTTTGAAGCCAGAAAATAAGTGTGCTCAATGGGGAACAGACAATAGCCTACACAGGTTAACTTTAAGACAATTTGTTGGCTGAGGACACAGGTCTGCACAGGACACTGATAAGAGTCTGTTGCTTGTGGGGCTCTTTGGCCTGTCTCATTTCTCCATTTAGATCTATACTATCTATCTTTTACCTGTCTTCCTTCTCCATATAGATCTGTCCTTAGATCTATTTAGATCTAAGCCCTAGGAGGTTATCATTCTTTTAACAACACTGTTCACCTTGACACATTGCTCAAAAACATAGTTACCCAGAGTCTTTTGACCCTCTGAATTTCTCTCGGTTGTGTCACATGTATCCTGATCGTACATTTCCCCTCACCATCCCTGTGACTGATATTTCTTTCCTTGCCTCTCCATTCATATGAAATTAACCAGGCTTGAAGGCTGAGCCCATGTCCTCCCTGGAACCTTCCTGGCTGACCTTCCTTCTGTAGTCACTACTATTTTACATGGTTAAATTTCTTTTAGTTGTTCCCTCTTTACCATTTCTTTGTTTTCCATGTTATAGGATCACCTGGATATACAGGTAAACACATGCTTGATGTTACATATGTGTGCTTTGGGTTTTTGTTGTTATTGTTGTTGTTGTTTTGTTTTTGTTTTTGTTTTTAGTTCCTCAGTTGCATGATACACCTTAAGGGCATGGACACCCATTACTATAATATTTAGTGAGTGACAAGTGTTTGTCATGAAGTGACCCTTTTTATGGTCATTTCAGGGTCACCACTGGATTTTCTTTTGAATCCATGGTTCCATTGTGATATTGAGAGGTACTTTGGGAGTTTTCAGAGATTGTCGAGCAGCTTTGTTTTTGTGGTGTACATTTGATGATACTGAAGTTGTCATGTAAAGTAGACATTGCTTCTTCAGGGCCCTTCCATGTCTTGGGGGTGTCCTCTGGCCCATATCTAAATATAGATATATTGTGGATCATAAGATGACTCTGGATTGATTGGACATGAATGGTGGCCTTCACATTTGGAATGATCCATAGCTATGAAGCAGATCTGTAAGACAAGGCTTACCACAGTAGTGCTGAGATTTAAAGAACGTTTTAAAATGATCTTCTAAAGCAAGAATTCAATCAATATATGCCTGAAAAGGGTGTGTCCAGGCTATAAATTATCTTAGCAAGGTTTCATGATCCTTTCGTAAGGAAGAATTATTTCAATGCATAGTTTATACCAGTACAGGAATTGGGTGCTTGGAGTTGACCTAGGGATAATGGTGATGTTTGTGTAATTTCCTTACCAATTCTTTTGTCTCTTCTAAGTTAGCATAAATGCCCATTTGATAGCCTGGATTGTTAGTTACACTACATGTAGTTTGGACTCAGTCTTTCAAGAACTCTCTCTGATATAATATGCTATGTCGTGAAATGCTCCAGGCCTACTTTGATTTTTGGTTGTGTGTGTGTGTGTGTGTGTGTGTGTGTGTGTTTTCTCCAGTGTTGGGGAATCAAACACAGGGCCTCACGAGTACTAGTCAAATGCTGTACCCCAGCCCTTGCCAGTCTACTTTGGATACAAGATTCATAGATGCTGCTCAGCTGAAATGAATTTTGTGTAAGTCTTTGGCTTCCTGGTGTAGCTAAACTAAAATATGTCTGCTTTTGAACATCTACTGTGTTTGGCTTCTTTACAGTGTTTTTCCTCTCTGTCAATCATGTCTTTCTTAAAATGCATGCTTCTCTTAGCTTTCCGCCTTTCCCAAACCCCCGACTCTTCCTTGAGTTTCTCTCTTGACTCATCTCAAGCCACGGTCCCTCACCTGTTGGTGTTTCTTGAGTTCTCTCCTTGGTGGTCTTGATTTCTACACTGCGTACTCTACGATGTTATTTCCATGACTTAAATTGCTCTGAATGCTGGTAGTTTTCCTATATTTCTCTCTAACCTTTTTTTTCTGATCTATTAATTAATTAATTCAGTAAATAGATATTTGAACTCTTGCCATGTGCCTGGCATTGTTCAGGGTAATTGGGATACAGAACTGAAAAAGACCTCATTCGCTTTTAGGAAAATAAATACATGAGTGATTTTAGGCAGCCCTTGAGGGATGTGGACACCAGGCAATGCCAAGCCCTGTGAGGTGCGGAGGAGTTTTCCCGAGTGGTCGGGGAAGCCTTTGTGGGGAGGTGACATTTCAGATCCCCAGTTCCTAGCCCTGTCTGTGCAGAGAATCACCTCTGTACCTTTAAAAGCTGCTTACTCCTAGTCTTCCCCGCTAGGTACTCATACTTAATTGGTCTGAGAGGGGACCAGGCACTTCACAAACTGAAAACCACCGATTATCAGAAAGGGAATTCCAGATCTCACTCTCATCAAATTGTAAGCTTCTTAGAAGTAGTAATATCTGTTGTTTCCCTTTTTAAGTTATAATTTTTATTTCTAGATTCTAGTTGACAGCATGTCTGAAGCTGAGGTCAGTGTCCTAGCCCCATCCTGCCCTCCCCAGCCTGCTGCCTCTCGTGGCCTCATTCAGCATCAGAATCTGGACATCATCTTTGGCTCTTTCCCCACGTGGCCACCCATCCTCGGGTGCTGCTGACTCTGCCCCCTCAGTGTTGCTGTAGTCTCCTCCTTTCCTTCCTCTGAAGGCCGGCACTCAGAGGTCTCCTCTCCACCTCCCACTGCTGACATAGCACACCTGAGCCCTCTTCAGCTCAGGATCCACCATGTGTCAGTCCCTGTCTTGTTCCCCTTGCTCTCAGAGTGAAGCCCAGCTCCTTTGCCTCATCTGGCCATCCCGACTTCTTCTTCTCACTCTGGCAACTCCCACTCCCACCTTCTGTGCCAAGCACCCAAACTGATCCGCCTGGAGGAGATGGACGTGAGGAGTCTCAGGCTGTGTTGCCTCTGATTGCAATGAGTGCATGGTTTGAAATGACATCCTTGACTCTTGCTGCTGCTTCGGGTGTAAGCCTCTGTTACCTCGGAGCTGGAAAACCCACCTGTTATGCTCCACCGTTATCACTGTAGAGCCCCCAAGGTGCTGTGCTGTCCTCATTGTCTCATCCCCGATGACCTGCCAACATTTAGGTGATAAGTATTTTGTTCTTTAAAATCAGTGAACAAATTTTCTAAATGAAACTTTGATTACTTATTTATATATATTTATACTTTTAATGCAAATTGATTTTTTGTTTTATAGGAGAACTATGCCATTCCTGGGTCAGGACTGGAGATCTCCTGGGTGGAGTTGGATTAAAACTGAAGATGGCTGGAAAAGATGCGAGTCCTGCAATCCGGAGCTGGGAAGAGAAAGCAGCCAGTGTAGTCTCAGCCATGACGTGTGAGTCACGGCCGGCAGAGTCAGGCTGCTGCCTCTTTACCTTTATGGCTGTACCTGCTTTTCAGGTCACCACAGAGCTCTGTAACTTGTCATCTTGCTGAGAATTGTCCACTCTTGGAGGCTGATGTGAGGAAGTGACTTATTTAGCTAAAGAATGAGCTTGGCAGTTAGCCTGACTTCCACACATGGATGCTCCTTTTTCTTACTGTTTAGAACATTTAATCCTCATGACAGTCTGAGAGAAAGAAATTATTTTAACCTTACAGTGTAGTTGAGGATCTGAGGCTGGCAGCCAGTGTCGAGGATGTGACAATAGTGGCTTGCACAAGAAAGAAGTCTTTTTTCTCTCTGGCAACTTGAGTTGATGCAGTGGCTTTGCTCGTGACATCACCAGGGGCTGAGTGGCATTCTCTCTTTTGCTTTCCTATCCTGTAGTTTAGGCCCATCTGCAGGGGTCCAGAGGGTATGTTACCCACTGTCTGACCTGCTCAGTGCCAGGGGCAGTACTGCCTGCTACATCTGCTTCCGGCTGGTGGTGGACGGGACACACTCCTGCACTTATGGCATACATAGCCCTTGATTACCTGGATCTCGGCTGCCTGCACCTCACTGACTAGAGCATGAGTTGCGGGGACGCTGGGGTGGCAGTCGGTCTGCTGTGAGGCCATTTGTCCTAGATGACGTGGGTACGGGAACAGGTAGATGGCCCTGGAGTCATCCCTAGCAGTCCCTGATCCGAGCTGTTGAGAATGTGGAGGCTTGTCCTCTGGGGCGCCTGGGTCTAGGCTTTGGTTTTAGTGTGGGTTCTTATTTGGCTTTTGCATTCTATCATTTGTGTGTGTGATGGTCCCTCTGTTTAAGTTTAGTAGTTTTAGGCCAGAGACTGGTTTTTGCATAGTTGAAGCAGGAATTAATCTTATACTTCAGTTATAGTGAAGGTAATACATAATACTCATTTATGAGTTTATGTTGTGGCATTTCTCTGCCATTCTGTGTTTTATTAATATTGAAGGTTGGAAAATCTATTTAAAGTGGCAATTATCTGTGCTATTGGTATTAGATAATTAATTTTAGACAATTGCAAATTTCTTGGGTGGTTTTTTATTGTCTCACGGTTTTTTATTATTTATTTTTTAGTTATAGGTGGACGCAATATCTTTATTTTATTTTTATGTGGTGCTGAGGATCAAACCCAGTGCCTTATGCATGGCAGATGAGCGCTCTACCTCTGAGCCACAACTCCAGCCCTGTCTTACAATTTTTATAGCGAGTTATTTAAGTTTAAAGTTGGTTAAATATATCTAGAAATGTTGGGTGTCTCATTTCTTCCACATGGTCACTGTTAAGCATAGAGATTCCTCAACTCACAGATCTAGGATAGGGAAACAGGTCACACAATTCAGTTTTAAAAAAGCTATCACTGAGTACCAGGGCTATAGCTCAGTGGTAAAGTGCTTGGCTCACATGCATGAGGCACTGGGTTCAATTCTCAGCACCACATAAAAATAAATAAAGATACTGTGTGTTTATCTACAACTAAAAAGCATACATATTTTTTTTTAAAAAAGCCATCACTGAAAACCCGTGTTCTGCTAGTTCTGTATTAAAGGATTTGCCCAATTCTTGTTTTTTTCCTATGTATTCTTTTCCCTATCATCCCAAACATGTTTTTAGTGTCTGAGAATTGACTTTTCTTAATTTATTTTTGTATTTGTGTATGGACAGCATGCTTTTATTTTGTTTATTTTTATGCAGCGTTAGGGATCAAACTCAGTGCCTCACACATGATGGTAGGCAAGTGCTCTGCAACTGAGCTACAGCTCCAGCCCCAATTCACTTTCTTACGTACACATAGAATTGAAGAATTCAATCCAAATGTGTTGGCAGCTCTCTGGGCCCCTTTCCTTCCCTTGCTTCCCAGCACACTTACTACTCTCCCACCCTCTGAAACTTACTTGCAGATGTGTCTAATTCCTTGGCACACTGAAGATGTGCCTCTGCTTCGGGCAAAGAAGCCATGTGTCTGCAGTTGGAGAGAGGGCTTCCACAGCAGCCCGGCTGCTGCTGTGGACAGCGTGGAAGGGCTGTGCTCTCTCTCCCATACCACTCCATTTGCCTCAGAAGCCTCAGACCTTCTCCTCCCACTCTGCCTTTCTTCCCTGTCTGTCCATTAGAACTCACAGCCAGACTTGTGGGGGTCTGGGTGTGAGCAGGACTGCAAAAGGGCTCTAGTGCTTCCTGCTCCCCTGAAAGGGAAAAGCTGCTAACTTTCAACCTCAGTTGTAACTAAGATGAAGCTCTGAACAACCCCAGTGTGAGTGGCTCCATAAAGCACCTCCTCTCCCTCCATGTGTGTTTGGGAAACAGCCCTTTTAATTCTTTGATGTGGAGTGAGCATTCTAAAGCTAGAACTGTTATGGTAAAATATGGCCTAAGTGATTAAGATCCTAACTTTGTTAATATTTTTTCTGTTTGTAATGGACATTAAAAATAGACCTTTAACTGTCCCCTGCTTATTCTCATCTCATTTTAAGATTGAAAATTCTGAGAAAAATAGATAAAAAAGGATGCATTGATTCAGCTCCTGCTCCAGACCTTTGCTTAAGGTGCTCTTTCAGGTGACATTTGTGATACTGCCAAGGTCCTTGATGATAGAGTTAAGCCCTCTTCTGAATGCTTGGTTCTTCATTGAGTAGATGTTGTTCATTAGAACTTAGGAAATGTCTTTCTACAGAGCGCAGCTTGAAGCACAGGGGCTCACCTTGCACCCCTTTAAGCCACAGATGCAGGATAAGGCAGCGGGTGGTACACAGGAGTGGGAGGGAGCAAACAACCTGGTCCAGTGGCCCAGCCCAGTTGGAACTGGTGGGCTCTCACCAGGCAGGGACTGTGTATACCACTGGCAGAGTCAGCAAAGGTTGCAGGCCAATGGGATGAAGCATATTAAGGTTTTAGCTCCTGCTCTTCATCGCATGATTCGCATTGCTGGTAGGTATGGCATGATCTGTGTGGAGGAAGCACTGCAGGGGTGTGTCTCAGAACTTCCCCCCACTCAGCAGATCTCCAGGATCTCCTCACTAAGAGCACTGCTGGGGACGTGCAAAGGCCTTGCTGCCCTGTAGACTGATGCATTCCACACGGGCTCCACCTAGTACTCTGGGACTTGCCCTTTGCTTCAACGTGTTAACTCTTAGCACATTTTTTTTTTGTTTTTTTTAAAACTTGTTAAGCATTCTATTCTCTTATTCAAACTCAAATGTTTCAGGTTTATCATGGTTACTTTGTTCTTTGTAGGCATAGTCATGGGGGTTATTGTGAATTTAGAGCTCCACCAAAATTGCCTTCAGCCATAGTTCTGGAGATAGCTGAACACTATAAAAGCATCTGTGGGAATTCATGGGGTGGGAATTCATGGGCAGTAGGAACTGGACCCCCAGCCATCCTATGTCCCTTTGCATAAATGCCCCTGCTGTCAAGCACAATCCCCCAGGGATCTTTACACTGTTGTTACAGGTTTGTAAAACCCACCTGACCTTTCTTACATGTTTTCTTTGGTGACTAGAAAGCAAAATGTAAGTAAACGATGTAAAATATTTGTTTGTATATCACACTCAGCAAATAGCATTCTAGGCAGTATTGCTGCCGTGTGTGTGTGTGTGTGTGTGTGTGTGTGTGTGTGTGTGTGTGTTTGTGTGTGTGTGTACACGTACAGGGGACAGGTTGTGTGTGGGTGTGTGGTCCTAAGAATTGAACCCAGGATTTTGCACATGTTACATAAGCAGGTCATTTCTTTTAGTAAGTGATTTTCTTTGGTTTGCACATTCTTGTCTCCAACTTCATTTTACTATTCTATCCCCAGATTTGTGGGTTTTTTCATTTATAAAGCAATATCTGCTCATTGTAAATGAACAAAACAGAAAAATTATGTAATCTCAAAAGCATAGAAGAGGAGGCACAGAGTCCTCCCCATCCTCCCTCAGCTCCTGCTCTGCCTGCCCACAGGTAGCCAGATGATGGCTTGGAGAGGAAGAGGTGGGATTATGAAGGGTTCGGATCCTGTTGGGATTTTGTAGGACTCACAGGCAGGTAGGATGCGCAGGGTGTAGTCTAAAGGAGTGAGGAGGATGGCCTTTGGCTGCATAGCTGGAAGGATGAGTCCCACTGATTTGAGGAACTTCTGGTACAGGCCCAGGGTCTGCCTGAGCAGCTTGGATGGGCCACACGTCACATGGCCCTTCACTGCGTGGCTCCATCAGCCATCGTCCTTCCCCCACTTTTCACTTCTTGGAAGTTGTGCCACATCAGCACATGTTGGTTTGCCTCATTCTTTATAATGACCACGTTTCATTGTTTAGATATAGCATGTCTTGTTTACCCAAGCTTCTACTAATCACACTTTAGTTATTTCTGTTTGTCATTATTTCTGACTGGTAGCTTCAGTTACCTGTGTGTATCCCTTTGCATACTTGTATGATATTTACAAAGTATAAGTTCCTAATAGAATTATACCAGTTTATACTTTCAATAGTATTATACAAAATTTTGCAGGTAATATGGCAATACTAGAACTTTAAGTATACATGGAGGTGACCGAGCATGTATAGATAGGTCAGAGCTTGAAGACTTGGCAAATGACCTAGGTTCTTACCTTCAAGTGAGAAAAACCTAATCCAAACTGATGTATACAAAAGGAGAACCTACTTACAGCAAGATTTTTTGTCTATTAGAGTAGTTGCCCCTGTGCACAAGGGGCGGATTGTAGAGGAGTGATGGAAACCCGTCCCGCCCCTGGCTGGCTCGTTTTCCTTCACCTGCAGGGTGAGCAGCCTTTGCACCTTTGCTCCTGGGGCTGCTGCTTCACTGGCACATACAGGGTGTCCACGTTGCTGGCTCTCCTTTCCTCTTTGAAGGACTGAGCAGCACTCTGTTGGTTCTCTAAGTAGGCTACGCATACTTCTGATGTGTGTTTACGTGTTGTTTTTTGTTGTTATTGTTTTAAT